GCCACGCAACTTCTTGGACCAAAGTGGAATAAAAATAAACATCAACACCAACAAGGTTCCCCCAAAACCCACAAAGACATGGACATTGAACAGCGTGATGCTAAACAACTCCTGGGTCAATGATGAAATCAAAACAGAGATTAAAAGATAACTGGAAAGAAATGAAAATGAAGAAACATCTTACCAAATCTCTGGGATGCCATGAAAGCTGTAGTAAAAGGGGAATTCATATCTCTACAAACGCACATGAAGAAAATGGAAGGATCACAAATTAACAGCCTAACAAGTCACCTAAGGAAGCTGGAAAAGCAAGACCACTAAAACCCTAACTTCAGCAGAAGAATCCAGATCACCAAAATAAAAGCCCAAATCCGGGACATAGAAGACAAAAAGATAATACAAAAAATCAATGAAACAAAAAGCTGGTTCTTTGAAAGGATAAACAAGATTGGTGGTCCCCTAGCTAGACTGACCAAGAAAAAGAGAGGAAAAAACCCAAATAAAAACAATCAGAAACACCAAAGATGAAGTCACATCTGACCCTGAAGAAATACAAAAGATCATTAGAGACTGCTATGTACACTTGTGTGGAAACAAACTTGAAAACCTTAAGGAAATGGAGGACTTTCTGACATCACACAACCTGCCTAGGTTGAAACAAGAAGAAATTGAGACCCTAAATAGACCAATAGCAATCAAGGAAATTGACAATGTAATAAGAAAACTACCTACAAAAAAAAGCCCTGGACCAGATGGCTTTCTAACAGAATTCTGTAAGACGTTTAAGGAGGAGCTGATACCAATCCTACTGAAAGTATTCCAGGCAATTGAGAAAGATGGAACTCTCCCCAAATCATTTTATGAAACTAGCATCACATTGATACCCAAGCCAGGTAAAGACCCAACAAATAAAGAGAACTACAGGCCGATATCTTTGATGAACATAGATGCTAAAATTTTCAACAAGATCCTAGCAAACCAGATTCAACAACGCATCTCAAAAATCATTCATCATGACCAAATATGCTTCATGCCTGGGATGCAAAGCTGGTTCAACATTCATAAAACCATAAATGTATTTAAATACATCAACAGATGTCAAAACAAAAACCGCATGATTATATCATTAGATGCAGAAAAAGCTTTTGATAAAATATAGCACCCCTTCTTGATAAAAACCCTTGAACATCTAGGCATACGTGGACCTTACCTCAAAATAGTAAAAGCCATCTATGAGAAACCCACAGCCAGCATACTCCTAAACAGACAAAAATTGGAACCATTTCCCTTGAAAACTGGAACAAGACAAGGATGACCACGCTCACCCCTCCTGTTCAATATAGTATTGGAGGAACTGGCTGAAGCAATCAGAGAAGAGAAGGCAATAAGGGATATCCCAATAAGAAAAGAGGAAGTCAAGTTATTTCTCTTTGAGATGACATGATTGTGTACCTTGAAAACCCAAGAGAATCTGTCATAAACCTCCTTGCACTGATAAAGGACTTTGGTAAAGTCTCAGGGCATAAAATAAATGTGCAAAAGACAATTGCATTTCTTTTTTTTTTTTTTTTTT